AGGGAGGAGGAGGAGGAGGAGGAGGAGGAGGAGGAGGAGGAGGAGGAGGAGGAGGAGGAGGAGGAGGCTCCGAGGGTGCTTCCAAGAGGGGGGACCTACTGGATGCCTGCCCACTGCCTCGCAGGCAAACTTACAGCCGGAGACAGGGCGGCGGCCAAGCACGCGGCGGCTGCGGTCCCCCCCTTCTCGGGGCCCCGGAAGTGCTGTGTCGCCCTCCGCCGTCTGCGTCGAGGGTCCTGGTCCCGCTCTTGGTGGCCTCGGCGAGGCGGGGGTGCGGACCTAGGTCTCCAACACTACGTCTTTTCGATATGTTTTTTTTTTGGTTCCTCGATTTCGGCCCTCGAGGGAAATTCTCGGGCCCTGGGGCCGTCTAACATGCCTCGGGAACGAACAGCTACCCCTGGGGAAGCGGGCGGGACCCCTGCGGCTGCACACTGACCAACATCACGCCTGAGGGGGAGCGATACGGGGGGGGGGGGGACTGGCTCTGGGCTATCTCGGGCCCCCTGTCAGCGATCAATTGGCAATTTGTGTACGTAGATGTACTCCAGGTTTCGTAATAAACGGAGGGGGGTCTCATTTCGGGGGGGTTTCTTCCAAGCTATCCTTGAGGGTCGGGGGGGTCGGGGGACGGACGGCGTTGTGGAGGTTCCCCACGGGGGGGGGTCTGAAATGGCTTGTCTTGGAGGTCCAGACCCCCTACCTTTATTACGAAACGGAGATCACCCCCTGAGCCCATCGCCGGCACGTCGGTGCACGTTCAGGGACGGGCGAAACGCCCCCTCCCTCCCCCCACCCCCCCCCCCCCCCCTTCCGGGGGAGGAGGAGGAGGAGGAGGAGAGGAGGAGGAGGAGGAGGAGGCAGGAGGAGGGAGGCAGGAGGAGGGAGGGAGGAGGGAGGAGGAGGAGGAGGAGGCGGAGGAGGAGAGGAGGAGGGCGGATGAGGAGGAGGAGGAGGAGGAGGCGGAAGGAGGAGGAGGAGGAGGATCAGGAGAGGAGGAGGAGGAGGAGAGGTTGGAGATCAGGGGGAGGAAGGAGGAGGAGGCGGAGGACAGGGGAGGGGGAGGGGGAAGGGGGAGGGGAGTGGGGAGGAGATGATGAGGAGGAGGAGGAGGAGGAGGAGTGAGGAGGAGGAGGAGGAGGAGGACGAGGCGGAGGAGGAGGAGAAGGGAGGAGGATCAGGGGAGGGGGTAGGATCAGGGGGAGGGGAGGAAGAGGAGGAGTAGGAGAGGAAGGAGGAGGAGGAGGAGGAGGAGGAGAAGGAGGGGGCGGGCCTTCCAGGGGCAGCGGAGGCCCCTCCGATCCGTCCCCAGGGGCCCCTTCCGAGAGGAGGCGCCGCCGCCCTCGGTCCCTGCCAGGGGCGCAGGGGCCGAGCGCGACGCCGCGAGGCGTTCCTCCGAGGGGGGCGGGGAGCGGTGGGGCCGGGGGGAGAGAAGGGGGGGGGAGGAGGAGGAGGAGGAGGAGGAGGAGGGAGGAGGAGGAGGAGGAGGAGGAGGAGGAGGAGGAGGAGGAGGATGAGGAGGAGGAGGAGGAGGAGCGGAGGAGAGGAGGAGGGGAGGAGGCGGAGGAGGAGGAGGAGGAGGAGGAGGAGGAGGAGGAGGAGGAGGAGGAGGGGGAGGGAGGCGCGCTACCAGGAGGGTGGGGAGGAGGGCTGGGAGGAGGGGGAGGAGGGCTGGGAGGAGGGGGAAGAGACAGGAGGAGGAGGAGGAGGCGGAGGAGGAGGAGGAGGAGGAGCAGGAGGAGGAGGAGGGGTAAGACACTGGCGGAATGCACAACCTTAAGGGTGGCCGGTCCATGCATGTGAGAATTACCGTGCTGACGAGGGTTCTCGAACAAACGATGTGCATACATAAATTGCCGATCTTATTGGCCACGTGGCTGGGGCAGAAGGACATTATATTAGCAAGATGTCCCTCCCCCTGGGGGGGCAACATTGTAGAAAGCCACGCGTGCAGAAAAAGGTGCGGGTGTATGGTCTATGCATGCGCCGAGTAGATGTGCGCGACTCCTGACCCGGTCCAGCCAGGCCATACTGGACTCATGTGATTAAAAATTCTAAGCCGATCGACCAGTCGTCGCTTGGGGACTGTGGAACGTTTGGGAAGGGTTTGGTGGTCAAAGGGTAGCCAGAGAAAGGGACAGGTACAGCTTGGATGGGAAGTGTGGACAGCAGGTAGCAGATGAGATGGGCCACGATGGAGGGTGGGGCGGGATACGGTGCTAGAGAGATTGTGGAGCGCGGAGGAGCACACAGGCACCGGGGTAGCAAGGTGGCCAAGAGAGATGGAGTAACGGGTAGCAGCGGTGGCGGCAGGATGACGAAGGATTGCTGCTATCTCCCTAGCTCCTCAGCCTTTGGGGGCTTGTGAGGGCGCGCGTCGAGAGTGTAAACATCGCCGCGATAGCGTGCACCACATACGTAGTGGGGAATTATGTGGCGGTATCTCCCTTCTACGCGCAGGGGCGCTGAGGTGGTGCACATAACATATTCGACTCCAATGCTAATTGTGGGGATGCCCAGAAATGCGTTCCACACGTCACGGAAACGGTGCGGGCAGTGCTGAACATGTGAATTGTACTCCATGCCATGCATGTTGTTGACATGTAACTAGGCGTGTCCTCGCAGCAAATCTCGACCCCCCCGCCCAGAGGCTAACAGGTGACAGCCCGTGCCTCGGGGATACCACGTGACAGGCTGGGCGCCGGAGCTGACAGGTGACAGGTCAGGCCCTGGAGCCAACAAGTGACAGGTTGGGCCCCGGAGCTAACAAATGACAGGCCGGGCCCTGGAGCTGACAGGTGACAGCCCCGGCCCTGGAGCTGACAGGTGATCGCACGAGCTGCTTCTGCCGCACGGGCTGCTTCTGTCGCGCGGGCTGCCTTCTGTCGCGCGGGCTGGGCGTCCAGATCAGATCGACCAGTCGTCGCTTGGGGACTGTGGAACGTTTGGGAAGGGTCTGGTGGTCACAGGATAGCAAGAGAAAGGGGCAGGGGCAGCTTGGATGGGATGTGACAGCAAGTAGCAGATGAGATGGGCCACGATGGAGGGTGGGCCGGGATATGGTGCTGGGGAGTTTGTGGAGCGCGGAGGAGCACACGGGCATCGGAGTAGCAAACAAGAGAAAGGGACAGGGGCAGCGTGGATGAGACGTGTGGACAGCAGGCGTAGAAGGAGTGCGCGGTGCACCGAGACGGGGGGAGGGCCCAGCAGGAAGAGGACAGGGGAGCCGCGGAGGATCGCGACGCGAAAGGGAAGAAAGAGCGACGAAACAATAGAAACAGACGGCCCACGTGGAAGAGGGGCCCGGGGTCCAAAAATGCGTGGGATTGGGATCGATAGGGTGCAATGTCCTGCCCCAGTCAGGGGGGTGGATATGGGCAGGGGGGCACTCTGGGGTCTGGGCTGCCCTGCAGTCGGTGGGGGTAGCCGGATGAGCTGGAAGAGGGCAAGAACTGTGGGGCAGCAAGATGGCTGAGGAGGACGGGGTAGCAGCGGTGGAGGCAGGATGCAAGAAGGATGGCTGGTGTCGCCCCAGCTCCTTAACCGTATGGGGTGCTCACCGAGGGTGCAGATGCGCACGAAGAGCGCGGGGGAGCCGCGGAGGAGCGCGACGCGAGATGGAGGAAAGAGCGACGGGATAAAAGCGACCGACTGGCCATGGAGAAGCGAGGGCTCCGGGTCCAAAAGTGCGTGGGAAGGGGACCAAAAGGTCCAATGTCCTGCCCCATTGAAAGGGAGGAGTAACGGTCGGTGTCGCCAGATCTGGGCAGGGAGGCCTCCCGAGGTTTGGCCAGCCCTGCAGTTGGTGGGGGTAGACGGATGAGCTGGAAGAGAGCACGACATGTGGGGTAACAAGATGACCAAGGACGGGGTAGCAGCGGTGGAGGCAGGATGCAGGAATACTTACTGGAGGAAGAGGAGGAGGAGGAGAAGGAGGAGGAGGAGGAGCAGAAAGAGGAGGAGGAGAACGATGATGATGCTGCTGATGATGATGAGGAGGAGGAGGAGGGGAGGAGGAGGAGGGGGGGGAGGAGGAGGAGGGGGAGGAGGAGAAGGAGGGGGCAGGGGGAGGAGGAGGAGCGGGAGGAGGAGAAAAGGAGAAGGGAGGAGCGAGGGAGGAGAAGAAGGCGGCTGAGGAGGATGAGGAGGAGGAGGAGGAGGAGGAGGAGGAGGAGGAGGAGGAGGTGGAGGAGAAAGAGAGGAGGAGGAGGAGGAGGGGGAGGAGGGGGAGGAGGATTAGACACATTCAACTGGCAGCTGGCACATACTACGATGCAACACTGGCGGACGCTGCCGCCGAAGGCGGCACCGTCAGCAGGCGTGCCGTGCAGATTGGGGGAGGGGAGCGGGGGAGGGGGCGCGGGCTCTCGTCCTCGCCCTCCACAGTTACACAATATGAATACACTCTGCTCCATCCCCTGATGGCGTGCGGAAGATAGCGGGCCCCCCTCCGCGTACTGTTTTTCCCAACCATCCTGTGGTGTTGGGTCCTCGTTTTGAAGAGACGCACAGCCGTCCTCTCTCCTCCTCTCCTCCTCCTCCCCCTCCTCCTCCTCCTCCTCTCATCATCAGCATCATCATCATCGTCATCGTCACCGTCATCATCAGCATCATCATCATCGTTCTTATCACCATCGTCGTCGTCATCATCGCCGTCTCCATCATGGCCGCACGTTTCGTGGACCCATAGTGAGCTCCACCGAAGGCCCCAGTGGCAAGGTCCGCATGCGGTTCCACCTCCATTTCGGCGCACCCCTCACACGTTTCGTGGCCCCATAGGGAGCTCCACCGAGGGCCCCAGTGTCAGGGTCCGCATGCGGTTCCACCTCCATTTCGGCGCACCCCTCGCACGTTTCGTGGCCCCATAGGGAGCTCCACCGAAGGCCCAAGTGTCAGGGTCCGTATGCGGTTCCACCTCCATTTCGGCGCACCCCTACCGGTTCGGGTGCGAGCCAAATTTGTAAGGGGGGGGTAGCTCCACCGAGGGCCCAAGTGTTTCAGGGGGTCCGCATGCGGTTCCACCTCCATTTCGGCGCACCCCCACCGTTTCGTGGCCCCATAGGGAGCTCCACCGAAGGCCCAAGTGTCAGGGTCCGCATGCGGTTCCACCTCCATTTCGGCGCACCCCTCACACGTTTCGTGGCCCCATAGGGAGCTCCAACGAAGGCCCCAGTGTCAGGGTCCGCATGCGGTTCCACCTCCATTTCGGCGCACCCCTCACACGTTTCGTGGCCCCATAGGGAGCTCCACCGAAGGCCCAAGTGTCAGGGTCCGCATGCGGTTCCACCTCCATTTCGGCGCACCCCTCACACGTTTCGTGGCCCCATAGGGGGCTCCACCGAAGGCCCAAGTGTCAGGGTCCGCATGCGGTTCCACCTCCATTTCCGCACCCCTCACACGTTTCGGGCCCCATATGGAGCTCCACCGAAGGCCCAAGTGTCAGGGTCCGCATGCGGTTCCACCTCCATTTCGGCGCACCCCTCACGCGCTTCGTGGCCCCATAGGGAGCTCTACCTGAGGCCCCAGTGGCAGGGTCCGCATGCAGTTCCACCTCCATTTCGGCGCACCCCTCACACGTTTCGTGGCCCCATAAGGAGCTCCGCCTAAGGCCTAAGTGGCAGGGTCCGCATGCAGTTCCACTTCCATTTCGGCGCACCCCTCACACGTTTCGTGGCGTCATAGGGAGCCCCGCCTAAGGCCCAAGTGGCACGGTCCGCATGCAGTTCCACCTCCATTTCGGCACACCCCTCACACGTTTCGTGGCCCCATAGAGAGCTCCGCCTAAGGCCCAAGTGGCAGGGTCCGCATGCAGTTCCACCTCCATTTCGGCGCACCCCTCACACGTTTCGCGGCCCCATAGGGAGCTCCACCGAGGGCGCCAATGGCAGGGTCCGCATGCAGTTCCACCTCCATTTCGGCGCACCCCTCACACGTTTCGCGGCCCCACAGGGTGCTCCACCGAAGGCCCCAGTGGCAGGGTCCGCATGCAGTTCCACCTCCATTTGGCGCACCTCTCACACGCTTCGTGGCCCCATCGGGTGTTCCACCAACGACGATACTTACAACGGCGGCATTCGGAATTGCGTATGGTTGGGCCCTTCGCCAGGATAATTTACACACAGGATTTCCCGGAGTTGGGTTTTCGCTAGGTTTTTTTTCAGAATGATGCTCTCGCTGAGGCGCGGGCTTCATTTTCGGGCTTCCGCTCGTTCCGAAACGTGCTCCCGCTGCAGCGCTGGCCTCATTTCCGTGCTTCCGCTCGTTCCGAATCGTGCTCCCGCTGCAGCGCTGGCCTTATTTCCGCGCTTCCGCTCGTTCCGAATCGTGCTCCCGCTGCAGCACTGGCGTCATTTCCCGTGCCATGCCACGGCATGCAATGCAATGCTAGGTTGCGTTCCGCTGCGCGATGCCATGCCTTCAGCTGCAGCTGTCATATCCAGTGCGTAAGTGCCACGTCATGCTATGCCATGCTTTGCTTTGATCTTCAAGGCCATTCTATGCAATGTCATGTTCGGGGCCGCTGTGCGATGCCATGCTTTGCGTTGCAAAGCTTTGTGATGCAATTCTTCACTACGCCACGCCACGCCATGCTGTGACATACTACGCTTTGCGGTGCTCCTCTACGCCATGCCATGCCATGCTCCACAATGCATCGCGTACCCTTTCGGGATCATTGCCCTTCTCAACATCCGACTGTGCGAGTAGAGAGTGGATCTACGCCATGGTAAGGGATGGGAGGGATGGGTAGGATGTCAGATATGACGCGAGCGCACCTAGCTTGTCCTCCGCCCCCTCCGCCCCTGTCGTTGTCCTGCTCCATCCCCTCCTCTTCGCCTTGCCCTCCTCCTCTTCGCCCCCCTCGTCCTCTCTGCCCTCCTCCTGCTCCTCCTCCGCCTGCTCGCCCTCCTTCCCCCCTCCTTCTCCTCCTCCTCCTCCTCCTCCACCTCCTCCTCCACCTCCATTACCTCTTTCATCCTCCTCCTCCTCCTCCTCTTCTCAATTCCGTCCTCCTCCTCCTCCTCTTCTTCTTCGCCCTCCTCCTGACGCCTGAATATGCTGGCATCTGAATCCCATGGGATGCTGCCATCTGTCCCAAGGGTGGTCGCACCCGAGGGGGGTGGGGTGATAAAAAGCGAGCCTGCACAATACACAATAAGGCCACGGACGCACGAGGAGGACCCCCTGCGGGTGAGGTAGCTACGCCCCCCGGCAGCCCTGGGGGTGGGGGGCGACGGAACGGTGGAGACGACATACTTGCTGAGCTGATACACTTCCTCACCCTCCTCCTGCTCCTGCTCCTGCTCCTGCTGCTCCTGCTGCTGTGGCTGCTGCTCCTCCTCCTCCTCCTCCTCCTCCTCCTCCTCCGTCCATCTCCTCTCCTCCTCGTCCTCCTCCCATCTCTCCTCCTCTTTTCCTCCTCCTCCTCCTCCTCCTCCTCCTCCTCTTTCTGCTCCTCCTCCTCCCTCACCCCTCCTTCCCTTCCCCTCCCTCCCTTCCCTCCCCGCCCCCGCGGGCCTTGCGGGCGAAGCGGTTGGGCCTCTTCCCGTGGCGCTTCTTCGGGGCCTGGTGGGCCGCCTTCATCGCCTGGGCGGGCTCCTGCCGTACGCGGTGCGCGGGGCGCGCGGGAGGCCGCTGTGGCAGTCGAGCGCCCTCCTTCCTCCCCCGTCCTCCATCTACATCTCTCTTCCTCCTCCTCCTCCTCCTCCTCCTCCTCCTCTCCTCCTCTTCCTCCCTCTCCTCCTCCCTCTTCCTCCTTCTCTCCTGCTCCCTCTCCTCCTCCTCCTCCTCCTCCCTCCCTCCTCCTCCCTGCTCCTCTTCCTCCTCCTGCTTCCCTCTCCTCCTCCTCCTCCTCCTCCTCCTCCTCCTCTTCCTCCTCCTCCTCCTCCACCTCCTTCATTTTTGTCCATGCATGTTTGTTTGTGAGTCTCGGCCTCAAGAGGCCCGTCGTGGGCCCCACGGCCGTCAGACAATTACCCGTGATGGGTACCGACCCCGAGGTCGGGGTCGGCAGCTCCAGGGGCAGACGCTTCGATCCCCCTCCACGCGGACGCTGCCTCCGCCGAGGGGCGCCCGCCGCCCTGCCCCTGGCGCGCCATCCGCCCCGGGTGGCGCACCGGATTGCCAGGCCGGCGTTCTCTCCTGCAGCGTGCCAGCCAGGTGCGCTACTGGTGTCCTCCATCGAGCGCACCTTCAAAACCACGCGGTGCGCCCGCGTCTGGCACCGGCGCGGCCCGCTCTGACGGCGTGCCACTGCCCGCCCGCCGCAAGCGGGTCAATACCCATACCCATCTTGCTTCCTGGCGCCCCTCCTCTCCCCTGCGCGTCGGCGTGGCGCCTTCTCTGGGGCCGTGACCCTCGCGCCTGGGGGCCCCTGCCCGCCTGCCTGGTCTCCTGGCGTGGGCCCCTCCCCCCCCGCTCTGGCGCCGCCCCTCCTCGGAGCTGCGCCCGCCTGGCCCGCCACCAGTCGCCGTGGTGCGCCGGCGCTCGGGGCCGCACCCTGGGCGTGGCCGCTGCCCACGGCCCCGGGGCTCTGCAGGTAGGCCCCGCCCCTGCCAGCAACTCGCGCTGCCCCACTTGGGGGCCACCGCCGATGCGGCTCGCCTCCCGCTTTTGCTTCCCCCGCCGGGAGCCTACGCCCGTGGTCCACTTGCACTCGGCGGCGCCCTCTCCCAGGTTGTGATGTGTGCGCTGGCCTTGGGACGGCTCTTGCTTCTCCGCCCCTCCTTCGCCCGCGCCCCCACTCGGCCCGCGCTGCCTGGTGCTGGGTGGCGCTCCGCCATTCTGGCGCCCACCCGCGTGGCCCTGCCGGCCTGCCTTCCAGCGGCGATTCCCACAGCGCCCACTGCACTGTGCCGACCTGCCTCGCCCGCCGCCTGCGCTCCTGGTGTCGCCGCCTCGCTCCCTCGGTCGGGCGCCCTGGTCTGCCCACCGCCCGCTGCCTGCCCCCGCTGGCTGGGCCTCGCCCGCACTGCGGCTGCTGGCCCCTCCCCTGGGTGCGCCCGCGACGCCGCGCCGCGCCGCGGCCAGGGGCTGCCTCTCGCAACCTGGCCGCCCCGCGCGCTCCCCGCAGCGCCGCCGCGTGAGAGTGCCCTCCCCCCTTTGTCCTCCTCTTGTGGCCGCCATCTGCTGCTTCGCCCGTCTCCTGTACGCGGGACAACCCGCAACTCCGCATCCAGGGCGTGCTCCACGCGCGAGCGGATCGCCTGTGCCGCGCCGCGACGGACAAATCCCACCAGCCCTTCGGGCGTGAGTGGTTTAGAGAGCCCGCTCTGTCCTCAACCCCCCTTCTTCCCCTTCGGGGAGGGGTTTACCCCTCCCCCTACCCCCTCCCCCTGGACCTGGAGAGGGCGCCCCGCGGGTCGTTGGAGGGGTCTTTTTCGACTCCTGGGAGGGCCAAAAAACGACGACCCTCACGAGGATTCTGGCCCCGATGGGGGGGGGGAGTTTGGTCCCTGAACTCGTCGTTGAAGCCAAAATCATTGATTTTACTATGGTTTTGGCCCCATTTTGGCCTCCTGAGGGGGCCGCGCTTCTCTTCCCTCATAGCAAAATCATCGATTTTACGAAGGTTTTGGCTTCATTTTGTCCTTCTCAGGGGGCAGCTCTCCTTTGCGCTCCTGCGGAGGTCGCAAGAGGCCCCAAGATGGCCCCAAGAGGCCCCCAGGAGGCTCCCAAGAGGCCTCCAAGAGGCCCCCCAGAGGCCCCCAAGCGGCCCCAAGAGGCCCCCAAGAGGCCCCCAAGAGGCCCCCAAGAGGCCCCCAAGAGGCCCCCAAGAGGCCCCACGAGGCCCCAAGAGGCCCCCAAGAGGCCCCCAAGAGGCCCCCAAGAGGCCCCCAAGAGGCCCCACGAGGCTCCAAGAGGCCCCCAAGAGGCCCCACGAGGAGCCCGAACGACTCACACCAGGACGAGGGGCCCGAACGACTCACACCACGAAGAGCCCGAACGACTCACACCACAAGGAGGGGCCCGAACGACTCACACCAGGACGAGGCGCCCGAACGACTCACACCACGAGGAGCCCGAAGGACTCACACCACGACGCGGGCCCCGAACGACTCACACCACGAGGAGCCCGAACGAGTCACACCAGGAGGAGGGGCCCGAACGACTCACACCACGAGAAGCCCGAACGACTCACACCAGGACGAAGAGCCCGAACGACTCACACCACGAAGAGCCCGAACGACTCACACCAGGAAGAAGGGCCCGAACGACTCAGACCAGGACGAGAAACCCCAAACGACTCAAACCACGAGGAGCGCTTTCTCTCCCTCCTCCTTCGCCTCGTCCTTCTCCCGCTCCCCCCACAAGGAGGATGTACAAGGAGGCGGGAGGAAGGAGGAACAGGGGAGATATGCGGGGCCAAGCGGACACACGCCTGAAAAACACTACTGTCGGCATGCTTCGCGAGAGTTGCTGCTGTGAGATGGGCTGGTGAGGATACGCGAAGCGTAAAGACTTTGTCCGTAAGTCTCGGCCTCTGGAGGCCCGTCGTGGGCCCCAAGGCAGTCAGACCATGACCCGCTATGGATACCGACCAGGTCGGGCGCTCCAGGGGCAAACGCCTCGACCCCCCTCTCGAAACTCCAGGGCTGCACCCAAAATTGCTGCAAAAGACACCAGGATCTGCCACCGTGCCTCGGGCACGAGATGGAGTGCCCCCAGGTTATGTAGGAGCCCTTTGTCCTTAGTCCTCGATGAAGGAGTATTGCGAGGCCCAGACAGCAGATTCTTAATCTCTCGGCGCTCCTGGCGTGCCTGGGCGTCTTCTCGCGTGACTTTTTCGGGCCCCAGGCTCCACGACGGGCGAAGAGGGCCCCATGATGCCCCAAGACGGCTCGAGAGGGCCCCGAATCGCCGACAGATCGCTCCAGGACGCCCAAGATGACCTCCAGATGGCCCAAGATGTCCCACGAGGCCCCCAGCAACACTCCAAAGAGGGTCTCGAGACGCACAACTTATAGCTTTTCCCATGGCTTGTGCAAGGACTCGGCTTCCCGACCCACCAGGACGGCCTACGAAGCCTCCAAGATCGCCCCGAAACGGCCCAAGAGGCCTCCAACAGGGCACCAAAACGGCCCAACAAGGGGAACACGAAACGACATTTCGAGCCCTCGGCCCTATGAGGCCCCCCTAAGCCCGTAATATACCCCCAAGACGCCCTAATAATCCATCGAGAAGCCTCAAGAGCCCTCCACGTGGCTCCCAAGAGGCTCCCAGGATCCCCCCAAACTGCCCCTCCAGAGGCCCTCGAATGCCATCCGAAGAGACCCCAACAATCATTCCTGAGGACCCAGACCCACAACCCAGGCATGGTGGCGGGATTGGCCGAAGGCATTCGGATCCGCCGCCCCCTGTTGGCTTGTCACGGGCGTGCACGGCGTGCCATATGTTAGGTAATTGTTGGTCCCTTGTCGAAGTTCTCAATTGGCCTTCGGCCCAACCGCCAGCCGCCGAAAATTCGTTCCCCATTGGCCCAATCGCTCCCCAGACGGCCAAGACGACCCAAAGTGGCCTTCAAGATGCCCTACTACGGCCAAACTGGCCCAAGATTGCGTCCAAGACTGTCCTAATATGCCTCCAAGACAGCCAAGATGGCCTCAAGAGAGCCCACGATCGCACCAGGATTGCCTCGTGATCACCCAAGACGGCCCAAGAGGCCTCCAACACGACCTCCAGGAAGGCCGAACCACAATCATCGATGCTCGATGGGTTTTGATGGATTTGGTCGTTTGCTCGTTTTCGGCTCTCCATTGCCGAAGGCGGCCCCAGTGGCCACCAAGATTGTCTTAAGAGCGCCCAAGAGGCCAATATGGCCCCCTGACTGTCCAAAAGGCCCTCAAGACGGCCACATGCGTGTTCCAAGACGGCCCAGGAGACATCCAAGACGCCCAATATGGCCTCCGATGCGGACCTGAAGCGCTCCAAGATGGCCCCAAGTCGGCCCAGACTCCGAAAGGCATCCTCGAAGCCTCTGGCCCACAGAGGCTCCCCGAGCTCTCCGTATGACGCCGTGCTCCCCCGACAAGGGCAGCTCCCCTGGACATCATTCCTCGATGGGCTGGTGGGGATACATTTTTTGGTTGCGGCCGCGCAGCAGAGGGCAGGCGGCGAAAGGGGGTCCGGGGCACGGGTCAGCCTAATTAGCTACTGCTGGTGGGGATATGCGAAGCGTTGATAATCGAATTTTCTTCCTGCTACGCTGTTCCACAGGCACGGTGGCGGGGTTTGCCACAGGCAGTTGGATATGGGCTCGACGTGACAAGATCGGACGAGGAAGGATGATGATGATGATGATGATGATGATGATGATGATGATGATGATGATGATGATGATGATGATGATGATGATGATGATGATGATGATGGAGATGGAGGAGGACGCGTACAGGGAGGATGTGAGGATGAACCCTCTTTCCTCCCCATCTTCCGACACTACCTCCTCTCACTCCTCCTCCTCCTCCTCCAATTGTCGACCCTCCCTCCTCCTCGCCTCCCCTCCCCTCCCCCCTCCAAGTCAGGTCTCCCCGACGATCAGGTCAGGCCTTACACGGTCCAACGAGCCAGGGCAAGCCAGCCGTGGCCAGGTCTGCAGGGCAGTGTGAGCCAAGCTACGGTTAGGCAGGCTGGGCGAAGTTAAGCCACATTCAGCTTACGGCAGGTCCTTGTCGTGTCGACCCCGGCACTGGTTCCTAACACCGCGGGGATCGTTCAACCTTGAACGATCGGCCGTTCCCAAAACGTCCACATCGTTCCACATCGAACGATTCTGGGTCGCCCGCAACGTTCAACGTTGAACGCCGCTGGCGGGGTCGCCGCCGGTCGACACGACACAAACCTGCCGTAGCCAGGCTGCGCCGAGCCGGGGTGCGCACGATGCGGGCCTCGTCACCTCGTGCGCGCACGAGACCCGGGCTGGCATGGCCGAAGTGAAAGCTTGGCAGGACGTCCGGACGCTGGCGGCTTCTGGACCAGCCCCTCTCCCCCTCTCCCTTCCCCCCCTCTTTCCTCCACTCCATCTCCGCGTACGCAGAGAGAGAGAGAGAGAAAAAAAACAAACAAGCAAAGAGAGAGATAGATAGAGAGAGAGAGAGAGCGAGAGACGGAAAGAAAAGCAGAAACAAACCGGTTGGAGTTCTGAACTCTGGGCGAGTCTCGCTTGCTCTGAGAGCTGGTGCTCGCCACAGGACGCCGTCTACGAGGCGGGGCCTGGCCATGACTAGGTCCATGGTGGGCTGGGCCGGCCGCCGGAAACTCCACTCGGGGCCGCGGTGGTGACCCTAGACGGCTCCCAGCGAGGCGCAGCCCACCCCCCTTCGTTGGTGGGCTCTCCGCGCAGCAGCCAGCCCTGCTTCCTCCTGCCCCCCCGCCGCCGATTCCCTCCTTCCCTCCTTTTTGGTGCGGCAGGGGGGAGGAGGAGGAGGAGGAGAAGGAGGAGGAGGAGGAGGAGAAGGAGGAAGGGGAACACAGAGGGAGGAGAGAGAGGAGGAGGAGGAGGAGGAGGAGGAGGAGAGGAGGAGGAGGAGGGAGGAGGAGGAGGAGGAGGAGGAGGGAGGAGGAGGAGGAGGAGGAGGAGGAGGAGGAGGAGGAGGAGGAGGAGGAGGAGGAGGAGGAGGAGGAGGAGGAGGGGGGGGAGGCCGTGCGCGCCCGCACGAGCCTCACCTTGCTCCCGGCCGCTCTGCGTCCCCCCCTTCTGCACAGCACCTGGCCCTGCTCAGCTCCTCCCCCCCCCGTTCCTTCTTGCCCCTCGCTGCCGCCGCCTTGCTGGCCTCCCAGCTCGCATCTCCCGCCTCCGCGCGTCGCCCCCACCTCGCGGTCCCACTCCCGTCAGCACGTGGAGCGCACTCGTGGCCTCGTCCCCCGTTGTCCCTTGTGCAGTGCCCTTGTCCTTCCCGTCTCGGCTGGGTGCGGATCCCACGGGCCGCCCACAAGGGTGTCCAGGGCCGAGGGAGGTCACCCGGGGAGGGAACCAACGGAAAAGCCCCTTCCCGCTTGCATCGTCGCGTCCTGGCCCGCCTCTTCCCAGTGGCTGCCCCTCAAACTTTTCACTGCACATGCGCTGGATGTTCTATGCCGTCCAGTGCCACACAATCATGAATTAGGAGCTCCTTGAACTTCCACAATACCTCGAGCTGGCCGACATTGAGGGGCTTGCCGCGGCAAAACGCGGGCTCCATGAACTGCACGGCAGAATCATGCAGAAATGACAACTAGGCACAAACACACTGACAATTCGCTGGCCCAACGAGCCAGAGGCGTGCTAAAATCTCTGGTGAGAGTATAAGAATGATTCTAATTCGCGGGCGCGTGGCGGCCCCTGGGGCTCCGCGGACGAAAAATACCCTGCCAAGGTTCAGGCAAGTCCTGGCAAGTTCCCAACAAAGTCGGGTCAGAGATGCCGGAACTCCTGGGCGCGGCCTCGGGGGCCCCCAGAGCGCCTCAATGAGGCGCCAAATGCGTGGCAGGCCCCACGGCCTCAGGCCAAGAGCGTTCCAAGATGGCCCACGTTGGTCCCAAGACGGCCCAAGAAGCGCCTAAGCGGCCCCAGGAGGGTTCCAAGAGGACTTCGAGAGGCCCCGAAAACGCAACAATCATTGATTTTGCGCTGAGTTTCAGACGATTTTGGCGGCACCGCCTTTTCGAGCTGCCGACCGCCCTGGACGGCCCAACCGGCCCCAAGATCGCTCCACGACGGCCCAAAACGCCTCCAAAAGGCCCCCCAAATGGCCCAAGATGGCCCTAAGACGGCCCAAGAGGCGTCCAAGACGGCCTCAAGAGGGACCCAGAGGGCGAAACCGAACGGACATTTCGAGCTCTCGGCCCCAAGAGGCGCCCAGGAAGCCCTCAGGCCCCCAAGAGCCCCTCAAAAGACCGCAAGAGGCCCCTAAAAGGCCCCCAAAGAGGCCCCCAAGACCCCCAACAGGACCCCAGGAAGCCCTGAGAGCTCCCCAAGAAGCCCCCAAGAGGCTCCCCAGAAGCTTCAAAACTGTTCCCCAGAGGATCCCGAGAAACCTCCGAAGAGAACCCAGAAAGCATCCATGAGGACTCTGACCCACAACCCAGGTACGTCTCGAAACTTGGCTGGAGCTCTCTTGAGCCATCTTGGCGCCCTCTGGAGCAATCGATCGGCTCTCTTCGACAGGGTGGAAACCAAATCTCAAAAAATCTCCTCGAAGACATTCCTGCCTGCCCTACCGTCCCGGGTACACCCCCACGCAACCACAGTGATGCGAAACGGGCCAGCGGAATGAGAGAAGCGATTAATGACATGTAAGCAGAATGTATGCCCGAACTTGCGCGCAAACGCATGCGCACGCGACCGCAAGCGTGTATGTACACGCTGTCGTACTCGTCAGAGAAACTACCGGCGCATGGCCAGGAGGACGCATGTACTGAAGCATGCGCGTCCATCACCATGTTGGCCAACGAAACTTGATGCTTCCTAGCGCGTGCGCTGTTTGACGCATGAACGTCCCCTTAATCTCCAGCACTGGCGCCACCGCAAGTGCCCAGGCACATCGTCAGACAGCTTGCGCCACTTCGGGCCTCGACCAGGTCAGCAAGACACGCCGATGAGACCGTATGATGCTGCCTGTGGGAGCCCTATGGGCTTTGGCGGCTGCGGGTTGTGTTGCGGCCCCAAACAACGCGCAATCACACTTTTTTGTGTCGGCGGCCCTGTGCGCAACACCAGGGCGATAACAATGGTGGTCTGTGCGGGATCCGGACCGCCAAGGGACAGCGAGACAAGGAGAACGCACTCACACACACAATCGCAGATAACTGCTCGCACGCACCCTCTGTCCTTCACACACGTGCGCCCGCAAACTGCATCGTTTAATCTCGCTCTCTGCCGTTCTCAGCCCCTCTCTCCTCCGCGCACGAGCGGCGGAATATAGCACGATCACGAACGCACGCGCTTGCACGCATGCGTATACGCAGACACACACGCCAAATTACACGCATGCGTACACAAACGCATGCTCATATACGCACACACGCACATTCAAGCACACACACATACGCTGACACACATTCATACACTTTTCTCCCTGGGTAACACTTGCTGTGTAACACGCCAGACATGTTTCGAACAATGATGACGCGTCAGAGCAAGGGACATAGTTGCCCGCTAACTTACCATGCCGTGCCGTGCCCGCGTGCCGTGGAAAGTCATGCTTGGTGTGCCATGTCGTGCTTGGTTTTCGACAATGCGAAATTGTTGCCGTGCCGTGCCTTGCCCACATGCCGTGCCGTGCTTGGATTCGAAAGCGCGAAAAAATACCGCGCCGTGCCGAACCGAACCCGCGTGCCGTATTGTGGTCGATTCCGAAATTGCGAGATTTTTGCCGTGCCGACCCGTGCCCGCGTGCTGTGCGGTACTAGGCCTCGAGACTGCGGAACTGCTGCCGCTCCCGCGTGCCGTGAAAGAGTTGCCGTGTCGTACCGTGTCCGCGTGCCGTGCAATGCTTGGTTTCGGGCATGCGAAATTGTTGCAATATCGTGCCGTGCCCGCGTACCGTGCCGCGCCTAGCTTTGAACATGTGAAGGATGTTGCCGTGCCGCACCGTGCCTGGCTTTCAGAAAAGGATGAAATTCCATGTCGTGTCGACCATGTGTCTTATCATGCAGACTTGGTGTGTGGGCCTCTATGCTGGTGTCATTCGCGTTAGCAGCCCGATGGGCCGATGGATCCCAATTGAACGATACATATGACGTGGCCACGGCATTTGCGGCGAGACAACCGCTGAGACTTGAAGGGCAAGAACCTGTCGGAAGGGACGCCGCATGAGCAAGGACTGACGTACTCTCGGGTGCCCCAAATGCGAAAAATGTACACGCATGTGCACACTCACGCACGCACATTTTCAATGTCCGCGGCCTGGTGTATACCCAAGCAAGCGGTGACGTCGCACTGACCGGTGCCCCATGGTTCCCTGTCTATGTTTCCTGTTTGCGGCAACTGGCCGTTCTCGCTCGGTGCCCTATAGTATCCCCCTGGGAAAGTACAGGTCGGGTCGAAGAAACGTCTGGGGGACCCTGGGGGTAATTCTTCCTTCCCGATCCATTCCTGTCCAAAAACGCTCCCTGGAGGCCAACAAACGCGAAACATGGCGACGAACATAGAAACAAATCAACAATGAAAGTAGCATTGGGGAGGAGGAGGAGGAGGAGGAGGAGGAGGAGGAGGAGGAGGAGGAGGAGGAGGAGGAGTCGAAGAG